GTAGGGGGGCCCTCTGCTCAAACTGCAATCAAGGCATCAGCCAGGCTGCCTTGTTATCAGAGGCTGGATTAGAGAAAGAGCCACTTCCAGGCTGCCTCTGGTTGTTGGCAGAATTTGTCTCCCTGTGGCTGTAAAACTCAAGGTGACTTGCTTCTTCCAGGTCAGCAGGAGAGTCTCTGACCTCTACATCCTTTTTTAAGGGGCTCACCTGATTAGGTGCGGCCCACCTAGGTTCATCTCCACTTTGATTAACTTAAGGTCAATCATTAAGGGTTTTAATTACATCAGAAAATTCCTATCATCTTTTCCATAAATTGTAACCTAATCAGAGGTGGTGCCCCATACTTTTGTTAAATTCTATTGATTAGAAGCAAGTTACAGGTCCTGCATACTCAAGGGAGATAATTATATAAGGGCATGGGCACTGGGGTTCATCTTAGAATTCTGCCTATCACATAGGTGTAATGTGATATCTTATTGTTGTTTTTTAAATTGTGGTAAAATATACATAACATAAAACTTACCATCTTAACCACTTTTAAGTTCAGTGATAGTAAGTACATTCACACTGCTGTGCAGCCACAACCACCATCCATCTCCAGAACTTCTTCATCTTGCAAAACTGAAACTCTGTACCCATTAAACACTAACTTCCCATTTCTCCCTCCCTTCATCCCTGGTAACCACCATTCTACTTTTTAATCTTATTTTATGAACTGGATTATTTTATGTCTCATAGTATTTATGTTTCTGTGACTGGTTTATTTCATTTAGCATAATGTCCTCAAGGCTCATCAATGTTATAGCGTGTGTCAAAATGTCCTTCCTTTTTAAGGCTGAATAATATTTCATTGTATGTATCTACCACATTTTGTATACCATTCATCAGTCAGTGGACACTTGGGTTTCATCCATTTTTTGGCTGTTGTGAATAGTGCTGCTAAGAACACGGGAATACAAATATATCTTTGAGATCCTGCTTTCAATTCTTTGGGGGTATATACCCAAAAGAGGAATTCCTGAGCCAGGTGATAATTCTATTCTTAGATTTTTGAGGAACTGATATATAGTTTTTCTAGTGGCTGCACCATTTTACATTCCCAACAGTGCACAAGGGTTCCAGTTTCTCCAATCCTCAACCAACACATTATTTTCTGTTGTTGTTGTTGTTTTTACAGTAGCCATCCTAATGGGTGTGAGTTGGTACCTTACGGTGGTTTTTCTCATTTCCTTACTTAGTAGTGATGTTGAGCACCTTTTCATGTGCTTATTGGCCATTTGTATGTCTTCTTTGGAGAAAAGTCTGTTCAAGTATCTTATTATAATCTGCATTTCTCTACTAATGATTTTGCCCATCTTTTCATGTATTTCTTCCAAAAATTGCCTGCTCATAACCTTTGTCCATTTATTTTTCTTGTTAATTTGTAGGAGTTCCTTGTATATTGAGGCTCTACTAATCTTGTAAATTTTAGACTATACATGTACCTTCCTTCATTTTGTGATGTGTCATTTGGAACAAATAGCTTTAATGTTGACATAATAAAGCGGACCCCCCCCCCCGCCATTTTTTTTTTTTTTTTTTGCATGATGAATTGTGCTTTGATAGTTTGTCTAAGAAATCTTTTACTCCCTCTAGGTCTCAAAGATGATCCCCTCCATGTTATTTTCTACCAATGTTAAAATTTAACCGTTCAGACTGACTTTTTTTTCTATTATTAATCCTTGCCTGAGGATATTTTTTTCCATTGAGTTTTAGAGAGAGTGGGAGGGAGGGAACGGGAGAAAGAGAAACATTGAGGTGAGACACATTGATTGGTTATCTCCTTCACGTGCCCGGACCTGAGCCAGGATCATTCCCAGGTACATGCCCTTGACCGGGAATCGAACCCACTCACAACCCTTTGGCCCGTAGGCCGACGCTCTACCACTGAACCACACCAGCCAGGGCCACCTTGACTTTTTAATCCACCTTCTCAGCACTCATCTTGTATGGGATTACATTGTGGCTTTTTTCTATAAAGCCAGAGTTTCCCCAGTAAGAACAACTCTTTCCCCACTGATTTGTGATGTATTTTTTTATTGTACCTAAACTCCCCTATAGCCAGGATCCATCTCTGAACTCTCCATACTGACCCAGTGGGTTGTCCATTCTTCCACTAACACCATACTGGGGGTTTTAAAACAATGTCATTGTATGTCTGAATCTCTGGGTGGGAGGGGAAAGTTTCCTGTAGGCCTTTCTCCCTCCTTACACATTTCAAAGTAAGTTCATGTAGCTGGAACTTTTATTAGGATTACAGTGAAGTTATAGATAAATTTAGGGAGAATTGACATCATATATTAGGCCACCTCTCCTTGATAGCAGATCCAGGTCTGAAAAGTGATGCTTCTTTTGAAATGTCTAATTGCAGCAAACAAAAATTACTCACATTTCTTCCAAAGAAGCAACATAACAGAGGCAGAACTCTACTAGATGACAGACGGGTCTCTGCCATCCCAATCTGTCCAACTGTCATGTCTGAAGCATCTGTCTTCAGATAACTTCTCAGCATCAAATCTCCCTACTAGCCACTGCAAAACCCCATTGCCTCTATACATGAAGTTCCTAGAGCAAAGAGGTATTGGGTAAATTCAAGTCTGTACTCTTAGGAGGCAATTTATGACTTCAAAATAAAGGTGTTTTTGTTTTGGAGCTTCAGAATCCCAGGGTTTAGTTGTGGGCAGTGTATTCTGATCCAAAGAAAGACAAGAGGAGGGAAAAACGGATACTGCAAGTGCTAAAAGGACATTGCAAACGTGGGTGGATATGGATATACAGCCTGGGTAGATAGACACAAAGTGGAACAAAAAAAGGGAAATATGGCTACACCCTGGAGAGGAAGGGTGGAGGCAGTCACATCAGGGTGGTGTGTTAGAGAAGAGGGAGGAATGAGAACCGCCTTGGACTCTCAGGCCCAGCCAGGCTCCGCTGTGGCTTTGTTCACGCAGTGGGATTCTCTGGCATCTAAAGTGCGCTCATTACATAGGTGCTGGGTGGGAACAGATCAGTCATCCCCTTTCCTAGTCCTCACGGCTTGCTGGTCCCCTGCGGGTGCTGGGAAAGGCGGGAAGATGCAAGCGCTCGTTCGCCCGAGCTTCAGGCTGAGGTAGGAGTCAGTATTAATCAAATAACCACCGGAATAAAGACACCCTGGTCATAGGACCAGCTGCAACCCGGGCAGCTCGTGACTGCAGCTTGTCCCTGACTATGATCTGGAGTTCTAATCAACAAAGGAAATGACACCGGCTAGGCTTGATTTGTTTTCACGACCCAAAACTTGTTTCTGGTGATCTGTCTTTTATAAGTGTCCCCAACTCAGAATTTTGCTAGAACCTAAACTCCAGCTTGGCGGCGTGTGTACCTGGAAACTCTTTCATTAGAACCTGGCTGTTCTTGCCCACCCTGGGGAGCCAGGGGCCTTGCGGGTGTCTCCGGGGCCCAGCGTGGGGAGCCGGGGGCCCCGCGGATGTCTCTGGGGCCCAGCGTGGGGAGCCGGGGGCCTCGCGGACGTCTCTGGGGCCCAGCGTGGGGAGCCGGGGGCCTCGCGGATGTCTCTGGGGCCCAGCGTGGGGCCCCGGGGGCCTCGTGGACGTCTCCGGGGCCCAGCACGCAGGCAGGCGCTCAGCGACACGCCAGGGGCCCACAGTCAGCCCCGCCCATCCCGCCCTGGGCGCTGGTCACGTGGCCAAGCAGCACGCTGAGGGGGCGGGGCGTCGGGCCCAGCGCGCCTTCCCATTGGCTCTCAGAGCTGCCTCCCAGAAGGCGTGCAGAGCCTCCAGTCCACGACCTCGGCCTCCTGCGAGGTTGCGGCTTTGGCGGGAGTTGGTCGCCGGTGTGAGGTAAGACCCTTGGAGTGGCTGCTGGGCCGGGTAGGACCGGGCCTGGGATCGTCCAGGGCCGTGTCCGCTTCAGGAGCCACCTGGGCGCCCTTGGGGGCGGGGGAGGGGCAGGGGGAGGAGCGGAGGCCCTGAGGGCCTGCTGAGCCGTGAGTCCTTCCCGCCGCCATGGTGTGAGGGCCACACTGGCGACACCGCTGCGCTGGGCCTGGCCTATGGTCACCCTCGACAAGTGTGTGTGTGTGTGTGTGTGTGTGTGTGTGTGTGAGAGAGAGAGAGAGAGAGAGAGAGAGAGCGAGCCGCTCGCGCCCTCTCCTCAGCCTCAGGCTGAGCAGGGAGCACGCGCCGTGCGCCTGGCGAGGGTCAGGTTCTGAGGGCCAGGGCTGGGCCTAAGGGTGAAGAGGTCCGTTCAGGCCGCGCTTCTTGGTAGGGAGCAGAGCGGGATGTCACCCTCTGATGGAAGGCTTCAAACTTAGGTGTGGTGGCCGGTCCTGCTGCCGCCGGCCGGAGGCCTGTGCGCTGCCTGCCACAGAGGCCAGGCCAGGGCTCAGGGCTGTTTTCTTCACCGCAGCAGCTGGAAACCATGCATTTTAACCTAACAAGCTCCAGTTTCATCATCATGTTTCAGAATATTGTGTGGTGGCAAGGAGGTGTGTGGCCTGCATTTGGCCCTCAGGATGGCAGCTTGCCGCCTGGGGAGGGGTGTCCAGGTAGGAGCTGCAGACGGACACAGACCCCCATTGGGGGCTCAGGTGCCAGGTGGGAGGGTATCTCCCAGAACCGACCTCTAGATTGTGTGCGCCAAGTAGTTGCCGCAGTTGGCAAGTGGGGGTTACCCTGGCCCTGACATTTCTTCTTTCTGGCCCCTTTAGGGTGAGCACGGATCTAGTGGGTTTAGATTCTGAGTGAGGTGGCCTGGGGCCGGGGGAAGGCACCCTCCTTGCAAAGCAAGCAGAGTTCCCCAGATTGCAGTCCTCGCTTGGGAGCTCCCTGTGCCAAGTGTCTGTGCATGGGGCTGTGCGAACCTTTTCAAAGTAGGAAGTGCATTTGGGATGAGTCTGCCCGAGCTCCTGCACTGCAGGAATCGTGACCCTGGTACCACTTGGCTTCCTGGTTTTAAATAGTGCTAATTGGGATCGGGGGAGACGCAGAGGAAATTATGGCCAGTCATTGCGCACTTCCTGGGTCCCTCACCTGTGCAGGGCAGACTGCTAGGCAGAGATGAGGCCGCTGCCGCCCTGGCCACAGGACACTTGCAGACCATGAGAGGAAGTGAAACCTCAGCTCTGGAGGAGGCGCCCAGCCCAGCAAGGAGGAGAGGAAAACCCTAGAGCAGGGGTGGGGAACCTTTTTCTGCCAAGGGCCACTTGGATATGTGTAACATCATTCGTGGGCCATACAAAATTATCAGCTTAAAAATTAGCCCGCTGTAGTTGGTCAGACATTTCATTAACTCACCCCTAATGCCTTGGCAAGGCCAGACCACACGATTTCACCGGCCGGACATTCCCCACCCCTGTCCTACAGGGCGATCCGGAAGCATGGTGGACTTAGAGCCATGGACAGAATTTGGTGGGAAGGGAGAAGGCACATCTGCATGGGCATGTGCAGCGTGTGGTGGGGCAGGGATAGCATGAGTAACTGGCCCAGCCTACCCATCTGGGACACGGTAGAGGGGTTTTTAGGGCCTGATTTCGGGGCCAGGAGGGATTCCGTGCTGCTTTATGGAATAGGTATTTGTTAGTTCAGGGGAGTATTATGGGAAGGAGGGCTGAGGAGCAACCCAGTGGGATCGTCTACTTAGAGTGCTATATGGGAGGATGGGTTTCAGAAAAATGTCTTGTTTCCAATAAGAAGAGCATTCCTTGGAAACGGTTCTGTGTGGTATTTCTCCGTGTTCTGACTCCCCAGCTATCCCCACCTAGTACCTGGCCCACATTCCGGTGATGGTTGAGTAGGTGAAGTGCCATCTTCTGGTGTGGAGGAGAAGAGCGCTGAGCAGGACCCGGTGGTCTTGCCGCCATGGTCCTGTTCCTCTTTGGCCGTCTCATAACTCCTTCCTGCCAACCCAGCCTTGTTCTTTCCCTCTGCACAGAAGGGTCTGACTCTCCAGTGCAGCCCTCATCTGTGCTGGGATATGGCAGGCTGGGTGCTGATGGTAAGACAACTGGCCTCCGTTATGTTAACCCTCAGGTTGCCCCTGATCTGGACACTGAGACCTTTTGAGGACAGCTGGCTCCGTGGTGGG